GCCTCAAGGAGGGATTCGCCCTCGGCGTACAGGCCAATATGCCTGTTGGACGAGGCGGGAAAGATTCTGGAAAGAATCATCGCTGCCCGCCTCGTCCATCACCTGTCCCGGGATGGTCCAAACCTAGACGACAGACAGTACGGCTTTCGGGCCGGGCGGTCAACCGTTGACGCAATCTTGCGTGTCCGCTCCGTCTCGGAGGCCGTCGTGAGGGAAGGCGGGATGTTGCTGGCAGTCTCTTTGGACATTTCAAATGCCTTCAACACCCTGCCTTGGCACCGGGTGGGGGATGCCCTGAAATATCACAGGATACCCCCTACCTATTGTCAGTCGTGTCGGACTACTTCCGGGACAGAAGTCTGGTCTACGTAGACCAGAACGCCGAGGAGTGCAGGGTCGAGGTGTCGTGCGGGGTTCCACAGGGGTCAGTTCTAGGCCCCCTCATGTGGAACCTTGCCTACGACGTGACCCTGAGGACTGCCCTTCCCCTGGCTGTGACGTCATCTGCTATGCAGATAACACGCTAATCATGGCCGGGGGGGACACTTGGGGGGAAGCAGTGGCGCGTGCGAATATTGCGGTGGCGCGTGTCGTGCGCACTATAGGAGGAATTGGGCTGAAGGTGGCGCCCCAGAAAACAGAGGCCGTCTTCTTCCATGACGGCTCTCATGGGGCGCCTCCTAAAGCCCAGATAATGGTGGGAAACACCCCAATAAAGGTGGGGACCCGAATTAAATTCTATCCACCTGGATGGCAAGTGGGCCTTCGGCGAGCACTTCCGCCAACTGACCCCAAGGGTAAACAAGGCAGCGATGGCTTTATGCCGCCTGCTGCCAAACCTCGGGGGACCTGACGGAAGGGTTCGCCGACTTTACGCCGAAACCATACATTCTATGGTTATGTACGGAGCCCCCGTATGGGCAGAAAAGGTATAGGCCACCCGCAAACTCAGAGATGCGTTGCATCAGCTGCAAAGGCGGGTGGCCAACCGTATATGCCGGGGGTTCCGTACGGTAAGCTGGACGGCCGTGGGGGTACTCTCAGGAGTACCCCCTATAGAGTTATTAGCCCGCATGTACGCTGAAGTATACAGGCGTACACGCGGGCTACAGAGGCAGGGAACGGCCGTCACAGCAGGTGTCCGGCGTACACTGAGGACCCACACCCGACGGCAATTAATAGAAAGCTGGTCCGGCATGTTGCAAAACCCGCAACTGCCGGGGCAGTAAACCGTCGGGGCCATCCGGCCCTGCCTGGAACAATGGCTAGGCAGGGTCAAGGGGGGTGTTACTTACCGAATGACACAGGTGCTCACCGGGCACGGATGCTTCGGTGAGTACCTGTGTCGCATCAAGAAGGAGCGCACGACACGCTGCCACCATTGCAGCGATAGGAGGGATACCGCCGGCCACACGCTCCAGGAGTGTGTGGCCTGGACGGAGGAGAAAGAAGATTTGAAGGCAGCAATTGGGGGGGGAGATCTCTCGCTGCCATCTCTAGTAAAGGAGATGGTGGCGAGAGAGGAGGTTTGGAAGGCGTTCTCCTCCTTCTGCGAGAGAGTTATGTCGCAGAAGGAGGAGGCAGAGAGAGAGAGGGAGAGGGCTGGGAGAGGCAACTCCCAGCCCTCGGACGAGGAGGAGGAAGACGAAGAGGAAGGGGACGGGCCCCCTCTTTTCCCGCCACCGGCGAGCTTGCTCGTTTGTGGTGGTGGGAATCGGGGAGGGCGCGCCCCCGATGGAAGCAGAGACGGTGGAAACGGGGACGAACACCCTCTTTTCCCGCCATCGGCGAGCTCGCTGGTTTGTGGTGGCGGGAATCGGGGGGGGGGGCGCGCTCCTGGTGGAAATAGAGATGACAGGAGCGGGGACGGGCCCCCTCTTTTCCCGCCATCGGCGAGTTCGCTCGTCTGTGGTGGCGGGAATCGGGGGGGGCTCGCCCCCAGCGATGCAGGAGGCAGTCGCGGAGAAGGGGGTGGGCCCTCTCTTTCCCCGCCGTTGGGGAGATCACTCTCCCGTGGTGGCGGGGGGCGAGGAGGGTCCGCCATTTTTACACCCGCGCCATATGACGCGGGATGAGGTTGCCGGGGGAGGGTCGGGGACAATTAAGTCCTCGGACTCCCCCCCTAAAACCTCTCGAGAATCGGGGGCGTGGGTGCGCCGCCTTGCCTAGGCGAGGTGGGCGCGGCCGCGCCCCCGAACGGGAAACCCCCCCGATTGCGGCCGAATCCTAACTCCCAAAGGGAGCGGAGGGAGCCGTAATCGGGGGGGACCGAGGGGAGGCCACGCGTCCTTTGGGGCGCCTGGGCCCCCCTCTATGACGGAGACGTGACGCGCGGGGCCCTCTCACCGGGAGCCACAAGGCACCGGTGGGAGGGCAACGCCGTCCACGGAGGGGGTTCCTCTCCTTCTGAGAGGAACCCTCTGGAGAGGGCCTCCGGGGCGAATGCCGAATCCCCATTCCCTTCGGGAGAGGGAGGGAGCACCGCTCCGGAGGCGGGGGGTGGCGGCTCGAGCGGGATACTCGAGCCGCGACCCCGCCTTCCAAACTCTTTGAGAGGGCGCGACGTGGGGTCGATACCGCCCTGTGTCGCAACCGCGAGGACTCCCGCACAATGCAATTCGCGGGGGGGGAGAGTGTCGCCTTCTGGAGGTTGAGATGGACAACACCTCAGTGGCATCCACCTCGGCTCAAGTTCGGGGAAAAAGAAAGAAGACGGAACGGGACAGTGATACAGATGACCTGACCTCACAAATGAGCAAAATCCCATGTGTTGACACGGACGAAGAATCGATTAATAAAAGGATCACGCGTGGTTCAATGGCGATCACTTGGAACATTATGAATGTGAACACGGACTCTGAACCGCAATCGCAGTCATGCTCCGAGGCGGAAATCAGGGGTGTTAGGAAACCTCCCAAGAAACCTGGGAGAAAGAAGAGAAGCGTGGACGAACCAACGATCGAACAACGGTTTCGTCCTCTCCCGGAAAATGTGGACAAGCTAAACATCGCCCCGGTCTCTCAAATAAGAGCGTCGGCCATTGAATGGCTAGATGACATTGAGATCATTAGGGCGAATAGCAACTATCAAGGTGCCCTTAGTGGTCAAATAAGAAAAAGAGTCGGTGTGATCAAAGAAATTCTTAGAGTCTTTGGCGAAAAAATCGAAGATGCCGGCGATCCTAGCTATCTAAGAAGAAGAAACACAGAGCTAGCCGCCGAACTAGCCTCATCAAAAAGAGAAACCGCCAAACTAAGACGCGATGTACAAGATCTTCAATATATAGTTGGCGATCTTAAAAGAGCAATAGAAGGAGGCCGAGCTACTGAGAAAGCTGAGAAGGCAACCTCCCCGATAGAGATTCCCTGCAAGAGCTCCAAATCCAAATCTAAATCCAAATCTAAGGAAAGGAAGGATACACCTACAAATTCCAGTGTAAATGCAGCTAACGTGCAATTTACAGATGTAGTCATGAGACCCCCACTTAAAAGTGTCTCAGTACCGATTCCGGCAGTAGAAAGAAGCTCATTGAGAGAGTATCATGATGTTGATGCGAAGTTGTCTCGTCGTATTGTAGAGCTGACCTCGAGGAAGAGGGAACTGAGACAATCTCTTAAAGAGCAGGAACAAAGTCCTGCTCCAGTAACCGTCCCAGTCCAGTCCTCACTAGGATTAGCAAATAAACCCAGGATAACCAGCAACATCCAGATCGTTGCTCCTAAAGGAAAGATGATGACCCAAAAGTCATTAGATTCACATATTAGCGAACCTATGGAGGTAGTTGGTCAGAATGAGGAGGTCTGGCAACAGGTCGAATCTAAAAAGACAAACGACAAAAAAAAAAGAAGGATAAGCAGACCGCCCCCATCAATCAAAAGGTTGCTGCTGCTAAACTAAAGGAAGGCAACCACAACAAGAAAAGAAGACCCCCTAAAACAGCAGCTGTTGCGATAAAAGGAATAGCGGAGGGCTTCTCCTATGCAGCCGCTTTTAAGAAGCTTAGAGAAGAAATCTCTCTCGGTGATTTGCAGATCGACAAATCATCCATTAGACACACTGCAAACGGAGGCATTGTAATTGAAGTGCCTGGTAAAGATAAAGCTATCAGAGCTGAGGCCTTAAAAGAGAAAGTTGCCGGAGTACTAGGTGAAACGGCAGTAGTTACAAGACCGGTCGTGAAAGGCGAAGTAAGAATAATCGGAATAGACGACTCGGTCGTCGCTGATGAAGTAGCTGATGTGATCGCCACAGCGGGAGATTGTAAATCTGACGAGGTCAAAGTTGGCATAATTCGACCCATGTCCAACGGATTATTTACAGTGTGGGCTCAGTGTCCTCTTGCGGCTGCTATTAAGGCAACCCAAAAGAACAAAATTAAGATTGGCTAGACGATAGCCCGAATAGAGCTCCTCAAAGCCAGACCGACCCAGTGTTATAAATGCTGGGGACACGGCCATCTAAGGAACAAATGTACATCTGTCGCTGACAGGAGCAAGACCTGCTTCAGATGCGGAGGAGAGAACCACCCTGCACTGAACTGTCAAAACCCGATCAGATGTATTCTATGTGTGGAGCAAGGGAAAGATCCCAACCACAGAGTTGGATCTAACCAATGCAAGGCAGATTTCAAAACGAACCCGAAGCCTGTCCCCGGCTCGTCTAACAAACTGGAACGGAGGCCGGTAGAAATAGAAACCGACAATGATATGTAAGATTCTGCAGTGTAATCTAGGAAGAGGATGGCAAGCCCAAAATCTGCTAGAACAGCACATGGCAGAGTTAAATGTCGCTGTTTGTGCAGTATCGGAACCTCGTAACGTTCCAAATAGTATTTTCTGGTATGGTAGTGGCAACAAATTGGCTGCAATTCACTGGAGACCGACAGGCATATTCCAAACCTGTTCCCTGGTCTATACGGCTAGAGATTTCGTAGTATTGGAGCATGGGAATATTAACATCATATCATGCTATATTTCCCCAAACTGCTCTCGGGAAGATTTTCTTACCTTTCTTGATGAGCTCAGTGTGGCAATCAGAGTATTAGGCGGAAAAACCCTTATATGTAGAGACTTCAATGCGAAGTCCTCACATTGGGAATCGCGTTACACTGACCGAAGAGGAGAGCTGGTAGATGAGTGGGGTGCGGAACACGATCTGAGGCTGATCAACACGGGTAGACTCCCAACGTGCATCAGACCTCAAGGATGGTCAATCATCGACCTCTCTTGGTCAACTGCTGACATATGCAGCACTATCAATGATTGGCAAGTTATGCGTGATATCGAATCACTATCCGATCATGAATACATACAAATGACGATTGGCCGCACAGACGGAAGCACAGACAAGAGTCACAAAGACCTTAAGGCGCTAAGATATCCAAGATGGAATATCAAGAAGCTCGACATAGACAAATTCCGAGCTGCTCTGCTTTGGAACTGTCCCAAGGATAGTAATCAAGACCCAGAAGAATCAGCTGAACAAAAGGCAAGACGTATAGAACGTACGATTCATCAAGCCTGTGACGTTGGAACCAGTAGGGTCAAAAAACGCCCACCAAAAATGCAAACGTTCTGGTGGAACTCAGAAATCGAGAGCCATAGAAAGGCCTCGATAACGACACGAAGAGCCTGGTCTAAAGCCAAACAAAGCAAAAGACCCCTGGAAGAGACAGAATCTCTCAGAGCAGAGTATAGAGACGCCAGAAGGACTCTAAAACGCGAGATCAGCAAAGCCAAGTATCAAGCTTGGCAAGAATTAATTTAGACAATCGAAGACGACCCCTGGGGACTACCCTACAAGATTGTGCTGAATAGACTAAGAAGATCATCTCCAAGCCTAACCGAGACTCTAAATAAAGATGTAACCGAGACCCTCCTGGAGTCTCTATTCCCATGCGGCGTGGAATCCAACCCTGCAGAAATCTGGAGGAACTAGCAATGGAATGCAGGCGAAGAATGCCTCATAACTGGTCGAGAGGTTTTCGAGACTATCAAACGCAAAGCTGGTAGTAACACTGCTCCAGGCCCGGATGTGATCGTTACCAAAATTCTGGGAAAGCTTTCAGGAGAAATGATCTTCAATATTGTCGATTGTTTCAACACGTGTCTCAAGGAAGGCGTCTTCCCTAACCGATGGAAACGAGCTATTCTAGTCCTAATACCTAAAGGTGGGAATGACACAATAGAGGAGATGCCTAGGGTTCGCCCGATATGCCTTCTAGATGAGCTAGGCAAAGTCTTTGAGAAGATAATCGTGGACCGGCTTTACCGTTGGATGAAAGAAAACCCTAGACACCAACTCTCGGAAGACCAATTTGGCTTCAAAGAAGGAAGATCAACGTGTGATGCTTTAGGAAGAGTACAGTCAGCTATCGAAGAGGCAATTGATCAAGGCGGTGTAGTTATCGCGATAAGTCTCGATATCAGCAATGCCTTCAATTCGCTTCCATGGCCTGCTATCAGAGAAGCCCTGAAACAAAAATGCTTTCCGGAATATTTACGACGTATTATCGACAGTTACCTTCATCATAGAGCCGTCGAATTCATAGATAGACAAGGAAAAACCGTCACTAAACCAATGACGGCTGGAGTACCTCAGGGCTCGGTGTTAGGCCCTACCCTATGGAATATAGGATATGACAGCGTTCTCCAAGAAGGGTGCGAGTACGGATGTCGTATCGTCTGCTACGCGGACGATACCCTTATCCTCGCTACTGCTGACACGATCTCTACAGCTATCGCTAGAGCAAACACACAGACGGCATTAATTCTCAACAGGATAAATCGACTTGGATTAACGGTCTCAGTAAACAAAACTGAGGCAGTAACGTTCCATGGCAGGAAAAAGCCTGTCCAACAACCATGTGTTACAATTGGTAATAAGATCATCCCTACCAAAACATCAATGAAGTACCTAGGCATTATTCTCGATAGCAGGATGTCATTTAAAGATCATTTCGAGTACGTAGAGACGAAAGTATCCAAAGTAACTAGAGCTCTGGGCAGACTCATGCCTAACTTGCGTGGTCCTAAAGAGGCCAAGAGAAGACTCTACGCTAATGTGATAACATCTATAATCTTATACGGTGCACCAATATGGTGCGACGCTTTAATCACGGCAAGGCGTAATCGAGAAAAACTCGATAGGCTGATGAAAATCACCAATCTGAGAGTGATTTCAGCGTACAGGACGGTTTCTTTGGACGCGGCGTCACTCCTAGCGAGAATACCACCCCTCCATCTCATGGCAGCAATGAGGAAACGAGTCTACACAAGAACCTTAGACTTGAAATCTCAAGGTGACTGGTGCCTAGCAGCAGCCCAAGAGATCAGAGCATCCGAAGCACTGATCACTAGACGACAATGGGAGATATACCTCCAAAGACCCATGATAGCTGGTGTACGCACCAGAGATGCCGTCCTGCCTAGTTTCATCGCATGGTTGGACAGAAGACACGGAGGAATGACCTTCCATCTGACCCAACTATTAACGGGTCATGGTTGTTTTGCTTCCTATCTGTATAGAATAGGAAAGATAGGCTCGCCAGTATGCGAACACTGTCCCGAGAATAAGGTGGATACTGCTGAACACACCCTGCAAGAATGCAAGGCGTGGGACACAGAGAGGGAAGCCCTAAGGACCATCATCGGCAACGATCTGAGTCTGGATTCAGTAGTGAAGGCCATCACTCTAGAAAAGACAGCCTGGGGAGCAATGACTCAATTCTCCGAGTCAGTTATGCTCACCAAGGAAAATCGAGAAAGGGAAAGACAAGCGCATGAGGCGCTAATCCCACCCGAATCCGACGAGGAAGAAGAGGCCGACACTTCCAGAGCATCGTCACAATAAGGAAGTGGCACATAGAGATGACTCAACTATAATATAGGTTAAGTGTAGCTTAAGACGAAAAAGATCACATGTAAATATGTAGATTTTGTGGAAGCGATCTAGGATAATAAGTGTATGTATGGGTGTGTCGTGTGCGTGTGTGTGCGTGGGTATGTGTGGGTATGTGTGTGCGTGCGTGGGTGTGTGTGTATGTGTATGGGTATGTGCGAACCTAGATACGCCTCTAAATGGACTGCAGAAGTGCGCCATCTCTGATAGCGGTGACGCATAGTCTGCGGATGACTCAGGGAAGTGCACAATGCTAACAATAAATGTAGTAAATGTGCAATAATATATAGGTACATAATTGTAAATATGTAAATAGACTCTTATGTAGATTAGTCATTGGAAACACATTTCCTGCATGCGTGATATAAGTGTGCGAATGTTCACCCTTAGAGTGTGGATTCGTGTACGAGTGTGCAGGTGGTGTGTGAATGAATGGATGGATACACCTAAGAATGAATGCACATGTGTGTATGATGATATATACACATGCGTAACAGAGAGAATGCCGAAGGAAGATATCGCAGAAATGCGAAGCTGGGTTGGGCCCGGGAAAATAATGCCGACAGCAGTTCTCCCGGACTCAACATAGACCAGGAAGGAAGAATGCCTTCTGGTCAAGGGCAGGGGTTTAGTGGGTAAGGCCGGTCGCGACCTGTCCGTCACGCGTGGGGGATCGGAGGCTAGCTCCGACCAACCACGCGGGACGCGGGGTTACGACCGGAGGAGTCACTACATAACCGTATGGGGACGGCCCCATCGGTATCCGTAAGATGGATTCCCCTGCCTAGCGCCGTATCGCTAAATCAAAAAAAAAAAAAAGGTTGTTGTCCGTCGAGAGACTATCTTCTCGGTGCACTTGCACTGAGTACGCTCCGTACAGTAGTACGTATAAAAGTGGTTCTAAGTGCATTCTGAGTGCAAAAAACATTACTGGATTATTGTTTGTGGTGCCAAGATTAATGGCAAATGGAGGCAAGTCGCTTAAACAATTAGTTTGTTTAAAATAAGCCTCTAAAGTATTCACACGTGCTCTGCTTGTCTGGTGATTTTTGACAGGTAGTTAAACACTTGACATGTGACTTAAAAGTGCATTTGAACTGGTCTTTTGTATTGCCAGATTGTTTGTTGTATTGAACTTGATCATATATATAAATCTTAGACATTTATATAACCTATTTTAGATCAAATAAGTGAAATTGTGTTGAGGCTATCTATGTCTCTCTCGCACTAATAGACTTATGTCAGAAATACATATTCTGGCCTTTAGACAATTACTACATGTGGGAAAATATTTTTAATATATTTTTACTAACATTAAGTAGTGCCTGTGAAAGTTTGCAGTGACAGAATTGTTTAATTCTGTTAAAAACAATAGTTTTCATCTCTGACTGTCGCTGTCTCTCTCGCTCCAATGGATCTGGAGTAAAAGTTTATATTCACGGTGTTATATACTTTTCTCACGTGGGAATATATTTTTAATGTATTTCTA